CTGCAGGGGCCGCCGCCGCCGCCGCCGCCGCTCTGACAGGTGGACCCGGCGCGCTGCTCTGGGAACGGCGGGGAAGCGCTGCCCGAAGCCCGGCCCGCGAAACCGCGATACGTGCGCGGAGGGAGGAAGGGGAGCGTACCTGGCGGGTTCCGCAGCCATGGGACCGAGCCTGGGGCGGGCGGGCTGCCTCCCTCCGCCGCGAGCAGCGCCCTGCCCGCTCCCGCACGCCGTCTCCCCTCGCGGCGTTGCCAGGCTCAGACCCGGACTAGCGGGGCACCTGCGAAGCCGGCGCCCTCGGTGGGTCCCCCGCGGCGCAGCCCCGGCGCCTTTCCCTTCGCCTGCCCGCGCGCCGCTCACCTGCGTCTCGTCCCGCTGCCTTCGCGCCCCAGTTTTATACTCGGGGCCACCAAGTAGCTGCTCCTTCGGCCAGGAGAACCGGAGGGGAGAGGAACTACCTGTGGCTGCTCTCCCCCGCCTCCGAAGTGGTACAGCCCATGTCTGTGTGCTCGGTGCACAGCTGTGTTTGTGCGCACCTCCTCTGGGCCAACCTCGTGCTCCAGCGCGGTGCGTGTGCGGGACTCACGCCCTCCGTCGGAAACCCCGCCACGGCCGCCGCCGCCGCTCGGGGGCAGGATGGCCCAGGGACCGGCGGGCAGGGACCCACCGCCCCCGCGGCGCCCGCTCTCCATCCTGCGCGACTCTGTCCGTGCACACGCGGTCTTGCCCTCGGGAGGGTGGGGGTGGGGGGGGTATGTCCCCTGCCTTTCAAAAGGCAACTGCGATGTGCAAAGCGAACGCACCACACCGGGTGTCAGCCGAGCCCCTGCTGTTGCCACTCACTCCAAACTGAGCAGACTGGTCGTATCCTTCTCTGGCCTTATTTTAGAGTGGATGCGAATTTATGAATACCACCAAGACCTGAAGTAAGCTCAGCTTACTGGCACGCCGCAGGGGTGTTAGATGCTGTTGAATATTGGAGAGGCTCATGCCAGATCGCTGTACATAGCCTTAAGGCACGGAAACACAAATAAAGGCATAAGGCGAAGAACGGAGTAAGAGCACCGTGACCCAAACGTTGCCCAGCATTTCTGCCCAAACGGCAGCTCCGGGAGGCTCAGGGTGCCCCCTTGCGGCAGCGCCCAGTTGCCCCGCCACTCCTGCAGGAGGCACTGGCAGGCCACTCAGAGGAAGGCCAACATGAGGGCTGCTGCGTAAGGGGCTCTTTCGCACACACTGCGCACGCTTGCCGGGGAGCTGCGGCCCACCCCCGTTCCCTGGGAGAGCGTCGTTCAGGCCTGTCGCACCAATGCCGTGCATTGCTAGGCGTGGCTGCACCCTTCCATGGTGGCCATATGGCAGGCGTGGCCAGACCCACTCAACGGAAGAGCCACATGGGGCAAATATACACCTGCCTGGACCCTCAGGTCATCAGCTGAGCTCCTTCTTTGGGAGCCAGCTGGGAAAGACATAAAGAAGGTCACTACCAGGAGAAGGGCCTTTTTGGCTGTGGCACCCTGGTTGTGGAACCAGCAGCCCAGAGAGGTGCTCCTGGCACTGACACTACGCATCTTTCAGCACCAGCCCAAACCCTTTTTATTTTCACAGTATCTTAATTGTTAAAATGTTGTATTTTAGCTTATTTATTTTAAATGGCACTGGTATTATCTGTTTGTTTGAGCTGCTTTGATTCCATTAAATTTATAATTATTCCTACTAGATTATATTATGCTTTTTCCTAATTTGTGTGATTTTATTGATTTTATCTTATTTAAATGTGTGTGCCGGTTAATTTTGACATATTTTAACATATTGTAAACTGTCCGGAGAGTCACTTACTAAACAGAAATGGTATGGAAATGTTCTAAATACATACATACATGTACGCATGTCAGACGTTTGAGAGCTGCAAGCAGGCATCTGTGGGTAGTGGTGCTGAGCAACGAATGGCAAGCTACAAGCAGGTGCCCGCGGGCGCCTTCAGTGGCCTGTGGCGAGCTGCAGAATAAACCCAAAGAGCCACATGTGGCTCCCGAGCCTTGCTCTGGCCACCACTGCTGTGCAGGGACCTTCAGCCTCACTGGCTGTTGTCTGAGGCACGGCAGGGCTGCCTCAGTTGGCCAGCTTGATGTTGGTGAAGACCAGAACTACAAAGTTCCAGGGCCACAACCGCCCCCTCCATCCACATTTAACTAGCTGGACCACTGGCCTGATCCAGCCTGGCTTTTCCTCGGTTCTTAACTATGTCTGTATTATATCAGCATCTTAAAGCTTTTCAAAGGGGTTTAAGATGTAATTGCAACTGCCTTGAGGGAGGCATGTGGGCTGAAAGGCGACTCACAACTTTTATAAATAACTAAATAAAATCACCACCCACCTGCCTGAATATGATCCGTGCGGATTATTCATGGTGGAGAGCAAGGGAGCACACAAGGCCCCGGAAGCCAACTCTGCTGTGGGCCTTGGGCAATCTTGTTCAGCCACTCCGCTGCTTTCTGAAATTGCCTGCCCTCCCCACAAGCACGTCTGCCTATTTTTGCACACACAAGTGCAGACACAGTCGAGGTGCAGAAGGGCTACAACCTTCAAGCCACGGCAGGTTGCCTGAGCCCTGTGGAAGTGTGACGGCCTGCACATCCGCCACAGATCCAGGTGCGGTGGCTGGGGGAACACCTGAGTCCTCCCAGGTGGGCTGCCACGCAGATCATGCCCAGCCTGGTGGAGGGATGGTGGTGGCAGAGCCGGCCACCCTCGAACCAAAGGGGGTGGCTTGGGATGGGGCAAGCAGGAGGCCGCTGGCTTGGGGGCTGCAGGCACACCGGGTCGGTGGCTGGCGTTAGGCATCGGTGTCCACATGGCGCAGCAGGACGGCATCCGATGCTGTGGGTCCCAGCTGGAGTGGGGGCAGATGGCTGCCATTTGGGCTAATGGACACTCAGCTCCACCCCCTCTCCTGCTCCGGGACCGGCAGAAATGAAATACGTGTTTGGAGTTCAGCACCACGCTCAAAACTGCATTCTGGCCATAGCGTGGCTGCCAGGAGAACCAAACCCAGCAAGAGGTCGTGGAGCTCCAAAAGCCCATGAGCCCGTCTCCCACGGGCGGCTGAAGCAAAAGCCAAACGACAGCACTGGCCAGATATTTCACCGCTGGTTGTCTGCTTCGAGAAGCAGAAGCAGCTCTTGGACTAAATGCCTTTTAGCCCACTGCTGTCTCCTGAGGAATCAAATGCCATCTGCTTACATGGAAAGAGGAGCCCACAGCACAAGCGGGAGGGCTGACCAGACTGCTCCCGGGAGAAAAGCTGACTCTCTGTCAGAGTTTCCCGGCACATTTGGTAATGGCTCGCTCTGACAGTGACGTGCCATCATCATTTATCTCACTGGAGCAGGAGGGAAGGCATATCCTCACCCCAAGGCATCACATCATCAGCTCTCGAGAGAAGCCAAAGCACTCATGCGTTATGGCAACAGTTTTGTCTGCCTCGAGGCTACAGACAGAAAGTTTGTGCAGCGAATATCCCCACGCAGGTTAAGAAAGAAATACTGGGTCTGATCACAGGTCATGGTGGCAAATTGCAAGTTAATCAGACTATGATTTGCTGTGATGTACGCTGTGCGTGAGCCGCTTCCACCTACTGTAACAAACCCCTCCAATTGGCCTAACTGGAAATTCTTGGCGTGATATATGATCTGTACCAATGGATTGTTTGGGGGCTAAACAAGCTAGCAATTAACCCGACAACAAACCATGTGTTAAATACTGGATTGTTTAGCTCCCTCAACAACCCATTGATTGGGGTTTGCATGTTATGTTCACAACCTGAGTCTAGTTGGAGGGCAACCTTGTCCTTGTAAGAAGGCACAGAGGTCCTTCCCCAATGAGACAGTCCCTAGTCCGAGACCCTGCTCACTGCAGAGATGACCACTGAGAATACGGTGCTGGGGTTAGCACCTTAAGTGCTGTTGCTGCCAGAAGTGTAGGGGGGATTTTGGTTTAGCGCCTTTAGCTCTTCACTCAAGCTGGGGAACCGCCAGACTGGGACAGAGTTGATCCAGGAGGCTGCTCTAAGACATCTCTTCGTGTGAGTGTGGGCCTCCAAGGACTCCCCTTCCAAATCCCGTAAGAAGGGACCTAAAGCCACGGCCTGTGTCCTCAAGTTGTTAGTCTTGAACTTTGTGCCTCTTACCTGGTAGTGGGAGCCTTCATCCTCTGGGATAAGCTGAAGAGGTTGAGGCAGGGCGAGTCCAGCTGGCTTGTCAGGGTCCTGAAGGCCTCTGGTTGGAGGAACCATTTCCCTCAATCTAGGAAGATCCCACTCAGCCAATTGACTATGACATTTAAAGCACCTTTTAGGTGTTCACCCTCACAAAGCACGTGTGTGCCAGTGCCCTCCTTGAACAGTGTCATGGCCACCGCTGTAGGACCTGGATCTCACCCTGTCCTGCTTGTTGATCTATGCTTTGGCCACAGCATTATCTGTTCTGACCAGAATCTCCTGGAAAGCCTGAGCAAGGCGAAATGGCCAGCTGGACAGATCCCCTTCAGCTCCAGGAGACTGAGCTGAGCTGTGACTCCACCTTGGACCAGAGGCGCTGGGTGTACTGATCATTTGCCTTGAACATGCGCAGTGCCAGTGTGGTGTGAGAGCCAGTGTGGTGCAGCCGTTAAGAGCATGGGACTGGGACTCAGGCGATCCGGGTTCTAGTCCCCACTTGGCCATGGAGCCAACTGGGGGACTTTGGGCCAGTCACAGACGCTCAGCCCAACCTACCTCACAGGGTTGTTGTTGTGGGGATAAGATGGAGGGGGAGAATGATGTAAGCTGCCTTGAGCCCTTTGTAGGAAAAAGGCAGGATAGAAATCGAAAAACAAACAAACATGTGGCCAAGGTGGAATAGGGTGCTCTCTGGATGGAGATGTGTTCTCACCCATCCAACCTCACAGGAGACAAGTCCATGGAGACGGCTCTCTCTTGAGAGCTTCATCACTGTGTTGGAGCTGCTCAAGATTTCACCTTGGAAGGCTAGGAGCGAAGTTTTGCTCGCACCCAGAAGGAAACCTTCTCCTTGGAATGGTACTACACTGCCAGTTGACCCAGTAAGGATTGCCTGTTTGGAATTATTGAGTCCCTGATGGTGTCCAAGCCACTCCCAGATGGAAGAGTAACTGAGAAAATGAGAGGAAGGACTTCTTCTTATACAGGAGGAACCCCAGGGAATGCAGCGCTGTCAGATTTGTTTGAAGGCCAGAAAGCTTTTCATGAAGACCAAAGGTGCCATGGCCGAAAGGGACGTGTCTACAGTGGAACCGCTTCACCCCACCACTGAAGTGCAGAAACTTGTGATGAGTGTGACAGATGGGATACGTAGGAACTCTTTTAGTTCCACTGAAGCTAGAAAGGCTCTTATCCTGAACTCTCTCCAATAGATCTGAGGTTTTCCATCTGGAATTCCTGCTTTCTCAGACAGCAGCTCACTCTTTTAAGGTCCAGGATGGGCTAGGCCCCCCCATTTTTTGTGGGGCAGGGGGACCATGGAGGACACAAAGGTGTCCTGACCCCTTTCACTTTTCCATACCTCCTCTATGGTTCTTACCCAGAGCAAGTGCCATAAAGCTGCTGGAGTCCTCAGAAGCTTGGCAGGATCCTTCATGTAGAATATCCTGAAAAATCGGTTCCTGTTGAAATTCC